CAAAAGTATTTTAAGTTTTCAAAAAATATTCTTTTGAATTTTGCTGTTTTTCCTTCTCGYTTTTCAGGGTAACTAAATGATGTTTGAAGATATGCATAGCACTGTATTTCATTATAAATAATTCTTGTCGACCTCAATATCTGAGCGTTTATAAAGATTAAAAATGTTTGTTTTACACTTTTTCTTAATCTTATGTAAACGAATATAAAAGGTCTATTTTAACGTCAATAATATTGTTTATAGAAAGTATTATATAATGTAAATTTAACTATGTTTTAATATATTAAATTTATTATTTTTTTATCAGTTCATTGTTCATACATGATATTTTTCTAAAATTAACACTGTATATTTCTTTCAGAATTATTACATTATAACTTAAATATTATTTTTAAGTCATAAGAAAAAATTTTATATTTATTAAATATTTWTATTTTTACTTTATTGATCTAAATCCCGGCGACTAAGTTCATTAGCTATACATAGGCCATTGGGTGTGGGGTGGTATATTAGGGGATATTTTTGTGTTTAAATAAATTATATATAGGTATATTGTGTAACAAAAAATAAAAATAAGTAATAGATCAAATTTTACAATAAATAGTTAACTCACTATAATAACGCATATACTATCTATATTATTATTATTGTATATAGGTACTAGTTTCGTAAAACTTAGATTATGTCTATCGTATATAAACTTTATAATCATTAACTTTTATTAAAAAAAAAAATCTAGAATTAAGTAATAATGTATAGCTTACCATACTTATTGCTTATAGGACTATAAAAAAAACAAATAAAGTAATAGGTAGGTAAATATAGAAATAGTAGGTAATAGCGCTTACAAGAAGATTACTTGCGATTAAATATTTTGACAAATCGTGGAGTATTATAATGTATGTTTTATGAGTATCCTTGTACTAAATACCCATGTCTTAGTCATAAAATTGAAAATGTATTAAAACAATAAATCCGACCGTGATAAAGTATCTATAAATTAACAAAAATGTTAAATATTAAAAATTCAATATTTATCATATTATTATGGTCCATATTTAAAAAAAAAATATTTCAGTTATAAATATTAGTTATAAATAAGTATAAGAAATATATAGCTAGCTAATAGGTGAATTTTTTTTCATAATGTTCAAGTAATTTTTTAACATGTGTCAGGACTAAGGATACTGTTGGAATGATCAAAAGCATTTATACCTCTCTAATGTTTGAAAAGCTTACCAATTAGATAACCTTTACAATTAATGAATAATGTCACATGAAACATTTGTTGCACTCATTAATCATTTTTATAGATACGAGAAGATCATTTTAAAAGCATTTTAATAATTTACTTAGAGTCTAAAATGATTATATAACATGATAAGAATAAGAATATAGTATAAAATATATTAATAATAATTTTTGTTTGCATTATACTAATACAACTATAAATGTAATTTTTATCAATTAAAATATTGTCCATATTGATATTCTTAAATTAATAAGATAATATTGACATTTATATTATTTTACATTATACAAATAAGTTTCTGAAAAGAATCACATTTTCAGTCATTTTAAAAATTAGTGAAATTATTAATTGTGATTTCATTAAAATTAAAAATTTATCATTTATTTTCCAGACCTATCCTGTGTTATACGATAGGTTATCTGGCGTATATATATATACCTACACCTATATATATATATATATATATCCTGTATTCATTTTGTGCATTTGATTGAAGTCTGTCTCGTCAGAATATATAATACAAATATATACTAAAGCAACATAAGCAACATAAGCAGTAAAATAAACGATGTGTGAAATGAAAACTTCATAAATTTRCAACAAAACAAGTAGATTGCCAGTTAAGAACTCATGTTAATTACTTAATTTAATTTATAGGTATTCATTGCATTTTAATATTTAACTCGTGTTTGATTTTTTACAACATGTTTCCTTTSGTAATCAATATCAATTTTTATTTATTGTTTTATGGAAAACTTTTAAATATCCTTATGTAGACACTGTTGTAAATTTTTTACAAGTGGTTTTTTTTAAATGCCTTTTAGCAAAGATAATTATAATATTTAAATTTAAAATGGCTATAAAACAAGAACATTTTTTTTAGACAGAAAAAACTGATGAACCAATATCGAACTATAATGAAAGTATGACCTTAGATGGCGCATCAGTAAAAAAAAAATGTCTTAACACACGTTTTATATAGTAAAACTAACTTCTCTCTGTATTTCATTCATATGATTGAGGTGATTATTATTAAGGTAGATACCACTATCTATTTAATTAATTACTATAAATAATATTATTATCTGTGTTTTGGAAAAAAATCTTTGTTTATTTATTTTTTTTATTTATTTAGTTACCTGCCTATTTATCATTTATTATAAAGTAAAAATATTGAAAAAAAAAAACATTTGCTAAAATCACAGATAATGATTTTTATAATAAAATTGTTATGATATGTTACATACTGGTGGATGGATAATTTCAATTTCAACAATTTAATCACAATGAGTAAAATATGTAGAGAATTTCTAACTATATTAATGCACGTGATAAAATTGAGAAAAAAATTATATTGATGTTGCCAGTTTATACGAATACGCAATTCTAATCATTATTACAAATTACTGAGAAAAGATTATAGCTCTAACTAAGTAATTTGAATAAAGATGTATTTTTGTTTTTTGAAAGATTACCAAAGTGTTTTTAAGTTAACGATATTGTTTAAAGTATACCTAATACTACAATATTTGACTAGAAATATTTTAATTAAATAATTTTTCTATTATAATATATAAAAAAAATGAAAAAAAAAAAATGAATGTTTACAAATATGAATACAAATATAAAGATAGCTTAACATTATTATATCATTTTTTAGATACTTCAAGTGAGTTACTATGAGTCACAAGGATTGATAATGAATCATAAAGAATTATGAGCTACAAAACATTTTGTTTCGGTTATACATAGCTGTCTAATCTAARCGGATGGTACGAAAAGTATTCAAATACATAATACCTACTTTCTAATACAATTATCTGATCAAAATACATATATGGCAACGATGTATAATATATTAACATGTAATTGTTAAAAACATAAAATATAATGCTGTACAAATATCACGTTTATTGAAAAAATTTTTATTTATGATTGTTTTCGTAAAATTACAAAAAAACTAATTATATTATAATCTGAATAAGAAAMCCGGGCCATTCTCTCTGCTATCTTGTAAGTTTTGAGTTAACCTAGACATTGAAAAAGTCACAGTACCTAGTGGAAGTGTAAAGTTTGAATTCAATGATAAATCATTGTAAACAAAAAATAGTTTTAAGTAAATTAGTCGAGTGGATTAGTATCATCTATTTCCGTAGATATTTTCTAATTTATTCATATTACTATAAGTTTTATTTCATATTAAAAAAAAATCATGCGCAATATATACACTACCTACAATAAATATAATAATGAGTAAATTTGATAGTAATGGTTTTTAACAGAAAGTTAGCATTAATTGATGGGTTTTCAGCAGCGCCACCCTGATAGATATTAATTATTAGTTATTACTATAAACAATTAATTTTTTATAATCTATTAGTATGTTAAACTAATTTTTGCCGAAAAAAAATGGCATAAATTATTGTTAATCACACATAACTTATAAGTTTATACCACGTATGGTAAATCAATACGAATAGGTTCGTGGTATAAATAGCTTAAATTAGTTCTATTTAAAATACACATAATTAAAGACTTTTTTTTATCAGTATAATGAACAATTACAAAATATTTCAATGAATTTCTTMGTCTTCACAATGCACCACATAATTTATTCGGACAACTGGTTATATTTTGAATCTTATATATGGCATATTATTGTTTTTTGTTCTACCATAAACTATTTAAATTGACAATGGATCGTTATTGTTACAGACAAAACTTATTATTGTTTTTAATAATATTATGTCTGTAAAATATTATAATAGAAAGAAGATGATTGCGTCCGTCCGATTGTTTGTGGTCATGAGACGACGGATAACTACAATAAAATATATCTTAAAGAAGTCAATAAAAAAACCTCTGATCATATGCACAGACGATTGGTAATATGTAGAAGAAACCGTCAGACTCGCTGAACTCTTATGCTAATTTATTTGTTTATAATTTTGCAATGAATTAACGTCATCCAGCAAATCATTATTTTGGCTAAACTAAAAATCAACAGCTGTCTTAAATAAATAGTGATGTATATATAATTGGTTGCCACCTAATGTTTTTACCACATACACATAATATAGGTGAGCTTATATAAATTTCAGAATCGGGAACGGTGAAGAATTAGAATATAGTGATCTCCTATATGAGGTTTTTGTCAGGTTCAATTTCAATGATCTTTTGCAAATATTCGGTCGCATCCGTAAAGATAGTTCCTATGCAAAAGCGTGTTAAGTTATTGATTTTGAACTCTACYGAATTCCATGCAACATGAAATGTAATCAAACACATGTCCAGAAAATATCCATACGGACAAAAAAATATATAAACCAGTTATATTATTTTAGTAGAGCTATATAGTTATAAAATGTTTATAATACAGTAAAATTTCCCCCAAGATACCTTTAAATATCGGACATCCTTGAAGTGGAAAAATGTCAGCGACCAAGAATATCCGGTATTCAGAGGATTCACTATATTTTATTTGGAAAAAGGTGAAATATAAATTAGAACCTTAACCTCCCTCTACAAGTAACAAAATATGTCAATCATCAATATTTTTTATTTAGGTATTTTTAGTTAGAATAAGATTATTCAATAGCTGGTGGATCATATGTGTATCGAAATAATATGTACATGGTACACCAATACACCTATACATTTTCAATATATAAATAATAATTCAGTGAGGTTAGGTGATAAATGCATCGTTTGCCTCTCCCGAATACGTTAATCACTATGATGTACTCACCGAATTTTGCATGCCAACTAAATCAAAACGAGCGCAAACATATATTTAAAAAAAAAAAAACCGTTGCGGCGGTGGCAAATCGTTCACATTTCATCGTCGGCGAAAGTTCGATAGTTTGAAAGTTATATTATGATAGATTATTGTAAATATTAATTATAAATAATATATTATTTTATAGATTTTGTTTACTCCGTTCGCGACAAATTTTGCGATGACGGACCGTCGGGACGAAACACGCGCGCAGCGTCATGCACAACTGACAAGCGTGTGGACGTAACTCTCGCAACGCGTCCGCGTGCGACTCACCGACGGTGTTAGCGGATTGACGCCGCTTTCGCCCCACCCCTACCGCCCAGACGTCACGTGCGTGCGCTGTGTGGTGATACACTTAGACGATATTGTATCTTTCAAAGTAATCAAATGAGCCGTCAAATACTATTCAAATTACCAAATTTACTTCAAACCTAATCACGTTTTTATTGGGCAGGAGTCAATATGCGTCATTAAGAATGGCACGGTTGTTGTTGAGTGAAATATTACGCACGCAGTTCTATTTAAAAAAAAAAAAAAACAAAAAACCGAATTGCACACTTTGTCTGTTTATCAGTCTAGCTTACAGTATTGCCGAGCCAGTTATAAACAATAATTATTCGATCATTTGATCGCATTTATATATGCTACGATTCTTTAAAATTTTTACCACACATTTGCATTTTTGTACCGAAAACTGAAATAAGAGCTGATATCACGGAAACACTGATCGTCACTAAACTGAATTATTCAAGTATGTTCCCTCTTTTATGTTTATCCATCTATAACTGTTATCTCATGGTAACTGACTTGCGATTTACGACTTTGCTGAGTTTGAAACGTTAACAATTATTTTACTACCGGTATTATAATCTATATTATATTTACTACTTTGTTGGTACTTCATGTTTTCACATTGAGTCTAAAATATGGAATACTGTCTATTATCGAATTTTTAATGCGTATTTAAATAATAAATCCATACGACAGACCTAGGTACAATAAACTAAACAAATTTTTTAACTACACGCGATAGKTAGTTTTGGTATTTTTATAAATATAGTATATACTAGCTGATCCTTCACGGTGTGATACTACCTGTGACAAATTAATTTTCTGTGGATCTACCCCTTCTAAAACTCTATTAAATGTAAGCTGCAAAGATTTTTAACATAGTTATTTGGATTATTTTTATCAAATATAAAACGCAGGTGTAAAATGATATCTATAATCATAATACCTAACTATTTTATTCACCAGGTAGTATAAGAGCTGTAAAAACCACACAAAAATCGTTTATTTTCATTAAATTAATTTTATGCAACCAATAGCAATCGTGTAGGTGTATGTATAAACAATAAAGCGTGTCCCGATTTAGTTAGTATCATCGTAGTCTAAACTATGATGGCTAGAGACTTGAAATGTATATGGTGCCTACGTAGTACGTACCACTATGCAGGTGTATCCTAAAAATCAATTTTTCAAATTTCGGATTTTAAAGAGGTGCTCAAATAGACATATAATATGAGGATTTTGAGATTCACAATGGAATTGACATTTTTTTGTTTATTTGGTTGCGGCCATTTGTTACAGATTATTGAAGTAATAGTGTAATTAGTATTTATTTTTTTTTATATAAATTATATAAAATTATATTGCTATTGTGATTATGATTTCATGTAATTTTAATATGTACTTGATACTTATTTTATTTTTTACACGAGTGTATAAAAATCATATTGTAAATTTGTTTATTTTTGATAATAATTGACTATCCATAAGAAAAGAAGTTACTCATTACCATCTGTTGATTCAAAATTAAATATTTTCTCTTTGCATTTTAAACATAATTATTCATTATTGTATAAAACGAATTGAACAAAGTTTGAATCATACAAAATTTGGCATTTGTTGCGGATAACAAAGTTCACCTGGTCAGCTAGTATAATATTTAATTTTAATTTTCCTTACCGAAAAAAAATTCTGATAAGTTTGTTTTAAAATAAGAACATAATTTTTCAGATCCTTTCTATAGCATATCTTGAGAATTGGTGGTAATCCATATTAACAATTTCAAGCTCATTCATTTTCTCGTTTTTGAGGAACAGTGATTAATGAGTGGCTTATATGCATATTATATACAGAACGAAATTCCTGTGTCAACCTATTTTTAAAATGCAATTTTTTTCATAATTCTTTCTCATTGTACATCTAAATTGGAGAAATCACAAATTAAAATGTCAAGTTCAAATCGTGTATTTAACGTTTTTGAGAAATAGCGTATTTAGTTATTATATAATTTATAAAATATACAAATAGTTATAATAACATTTCTGGAATAATAAGTGGTGAAATTGAATCAAATTTTTTTTTTTAACAGGAGAACAATTTTTCATTATGATCTTAAAATTTTCTTTTGTGCTCTTCACAACATTATCTAATATTAAATTATTGCTATATGGATATTTTGCTGTATGACTTAATTTATTGCGAGTAGAAAATTATATTTTCCTATGTTGAAACAAATACAAAATTATGTAATATTCACTTTATTGTATGAAAAAATACCATCGATTTTTATACTAAAAACAGAAAATCATATTTTCAAATAAATTGATTGGTCAATCAAATTACTCAGATTATTCATAATTTTATAACCATTAAGTTAAGAAAAAAGTTATACARTTGACCAATGATTATTTGATAAAATATGTTGTTTTAATTGTTATAATATATTCTATTCAATATTTATCAATAAGATGTAAGTTTTTATCTTTTCAGCGTATTGTACAAGTACATTTACTTATCTACTGTTTTTAAATTGTTATTTTATAAATATTATATTATATAAGTACATCTGTGAGAAAAACCTTTTATGGGTTCAGTAGACTAGGATTGAGGAAAGTCTACATATGGTAGGCCACTTAGGCTGTTATTCTAATTCTCTGATGATATTTATAGGCTGGAAAATGTATTTCAAAATATATTTTGAACTTAGATAGTGGTGCAGCTTAATTTGAGACTGATTTTCGTACATCGAAGACCCAATATATAATTTATAGGTACACCACGTCATGACATTATGTACAAATACAACACAAGTTATTAAATAATTTAATCGAATCGTCGACTAAATAATGCCAATAACTCAAATTATAATTATATGATTTGTTGATTACACGTTTTGTTAATTAATATCACTATAATTTATCAAACTACCCATATCTTTATCATACGAAGACTGGGAATTAACGAGTTAAAAAGTTAAATTAAGTTATTTTTAACTAGGTAAGTTACAAAACAAGTTAGTAATTTTTCCCTATATTTAACCCCATATAATTAAAATATATTTAGTTATACTTAAAAAAGTGTACGGTATAGTGCATCAGTCTTGATTAGGTATAAATTCATTTAAAGTACATCAATTACTGTTTAAACACTTAATGGTGCTATATTGTTATAAGTACAATAAATACGCACGAAACGCTTCATGAATTGAATTCACCAAAGAAAATTAGAAGTGTAATAAGTAATTTAAATTCAATAAGTTTACTTAATGTTCACATACGAATATTAAAATTCACTAAAACTGCCGTAGATGAGTGCCTATATATGTATAGGAAGTAAAAATTATTTTTATTTTATTTAACTGAATTGAAGGTATAGATACTAAAAATACAACTGATAGCTTTCAATAAAGTTTGAACGTTTTCATACTTAAGTTATCCCTGTCCCCTATGTATAATGGTAATATTATTCTTGGTCGCATAAGCAGAAGTTTTATTGATAGTAATAATATGCCAGTCTTCAATGCACTGTGTAACAAAACATCTATGACCATAAAAATATATTTAAAACCGTTCATATATTATATTTTATATAGATACGAGTATGAGCATATTTTGTTAATATATTTATATTCACACACCGCTTGTTTAAAGACACGAAAAAAAATAAAATACGTAATTTTTTTGCTATCCTGCGTATATTATTAGGAGCTTGGTTATCGTTGTATAAGTTATCCTACTAATTAATATAATTTATAGAGCAGGGTGTTGAGTGAATAAACTATGAAATGAAGAACAAAATAGTCCATGACAGATAAGCAATTTAAATATTATGTATTATTTACTTACGTAATCAATTTACAAAACACGTAAATGCAATGTCCAGATAAAACCTCAAATTTTTAATGCCAAAATAAAATTATGAATATAATTACAGAATATATGATTGATTTAGTAGTTCAATAATTTGAAATCTATTTTTTAATTAATTTTAAAAAGTTAAATCTCTGTTACAAAAAAATAAAATTTGTTTTATGGTTACAGAGATAGGAAACCTATAAGATTTGAGTTTTATATGTTGTTATTATAAACACCAAAATTAAGATATGATCAAGTCTTTATACAAATGAAAATATATTGATTTTAAATTACCTATCTACTTTTCGTCTATTGCAGCCTATACACGGCATTATACTAATTTATTATTATTTTCATTTTAGTAACCAGTGGTGATTTTTGGTTAATAATGCACTTCCTCGCAAGACTCTCGAATCATGATTCGTTTTCTGTATATTATATTTATATTATATGTTAATATCGAGTTGCATTAACAATAGTCAATAACAGTCAATTTGATGAATCAATATATTATAGTGAGCTATAAAGTAGCCACCAATGTTCCTTTATGATTTGGTGGCCAATAAAATTTTAGTGTATTACTAAATTAATATATTTTTGTACAGCTCGGCATTAGCACCGTACTATCGTAGGTATATAATATTTAAAATTAATTGCATATCAAAAGAAAATTTATTATTTATTTCTAAAAAGTAAACCTTGTTAATATTGGACATTTTAGATAGGTACTCTATATCCATGCTAATTATTTACAATTAATAATTATAATATCATTAAGAATAATTTTATATAATGATTTTAATTTATTTTCATATCCAAAGAAAGCAAAATCTATTATTATAACTTTTAAGTTACAAGCTATAAGTTTTTTTGTATAATGTCAGATTATACTGTAATTATTTTTAACTGGTTTCTGTGGCCAAGAGCCAAAATATCATACAGACTTATTACAGCCATAATAATTCACCATTTCCAGAAGTAATAAACTGTCTCAGGTCACTATAATAAATGCTCCAGTTAAATGCACTTTTTATTTTTAAATACAGACAGTTGGTTATAATACTAGGT